AAAAAAAAACACCAAACACAATAATACAGAAACTATTATTTGAATTAGTACTGGCATACCGTGAACAAGCGCTCATATTCGCGTGGTAACTCGAGGAGTTTCGGCTGCTGCCACGATGCATGCTGGTTCATGATGACGAGCTCTCGCACTATATCGGTTGGTGGCCCTATATACATTAATTGCTCACACCAAAACTTGGGCAAAGTTTGTTCTGTTCCAGCAATGAAGCAGAGGCCCTTCGAAGCATTAAAACAGTCCCAGTCCATTGAATCAGTTACGAGTTCCAAGTAATAAACCAGTCGCACAAACTCTAAGCCCGGAGCTGATATCTCTGGCATGTCGTGCCTGTAAAGATGCTGCCTCAGCAATGCCGCAATGCGCAGAAATGGTAGGCAAAGAGTTTGCAACTGAGCTTCCATGGATTTCATATTTACTTCGACCTCGGTATTGGAAGCTCCAGTACCAACTCCATTTCCACTGCTGGACGACGGAAATCCAAGATTGCCTAATGCATTTAATTGTGCAGAAGCCGCCAACGCCGCAGCCGCAGCTGCAGCCGCAGCAGCTGTTGAAGTACTGGGTATGCATTCGCGACGTAAATGTGACATACGGTTTGTGTGATTCAGTACTAACGCCATAGCGCGTCCCAAATAGAGCATATTCGATAAGCTGCCACCGCTTGAACGTGATGAGTTGCGACGGCCACCCGTATCAGCATCATCCGTGGAAGGAGACTTGTTATATTTCGATATGATATAATCACATTCTAAATCAGTGAGCGTAACACAAAGTTGTACAACTATTTGATAGTAGAGCAAATTGTACATAACCTTAACCATACANTATCCAATATTGCCTAATGCATTTAATTGTGCAGAAGCCGCCAACGCCGCAGCTGCAGCTGCAGCCGCAGCAGCTGTTGAAGTACTGGGTATGCATTCGCGACGTAAATGTGACATACGGTTTGTGTGATTGAGTACTAACGCCATAGCGCGTCCCAAATAGAGCATATTCGATAAGCTGCCACCGCTTGAACGTGATGAGTTGCGACGGCCACCAGTATCAGCATCATCCGTGGAAGGAGACTTGTTATATTTCGATATGATATAATCACATTCTAAATCAGTGAGCGTAACACAAAGTTGTACAACTATTTGATAGTAGAGCAAATTGTACATAACCTTAACCATACATGTGAAGAAATCTGCAAGCAGAAGAGATTATAATCAGTTATGATGCACATACATACATACAGTTACTCAAACAAATGACCACATGTTGATTTTCTTCAAATATTCGGTAATGTTTTTCGAGCCAAATTTTTTTTTTGTTATTTTTATATAAAAATATCGTCTAAGCTTTAACCAAAACCGCGTAAACACAGCAAACTTCAAACTTTATACAAAATTTAGGAAAATTCAACAAATTTTCATCAAAATTTCAACTTTTTATTCTGAATTTTAGTCTAATGAGGTGCAAAACGGCTAAAAATCTAGTTGATTTTTAAAAAATTTTTTTTTGGTGACGGATTTTTGCACTTCTTTTCATATAAGTATCAATTTCTTATAAAATAAAACGCGGGAGACCGTCAAACAACAAAATTATCTGGAAAAATGTTACGAATATTAAAAAAAAAACCAACACGTGGTCATTTGTTTTAGTCACTGTATGTGCATTAGACCGAGTCGAGCTGCCTACGAAAGAAAAAAATGTGTAATCTTCGTTCATTCCGAGTCCTAAAAACAGCCAAAATCATTATTTTATTTACATACAAATGTATGTCCATATTTTAAGGTATGATAGATCGTTTAAAATCAGGGACGTGAACCGGATGAAACATTTGGTCGGTTCGGTTCTGCAGCGGTTCGAACCGTTTTTGCACTTTTGGATTGGTTCGTCAAAGCGGTTTTTTGGTCTTTGAACCGGGGTTTCGGTTCGGTTCAGCGGTTTCGAAAAAAAAAAAAAAAAAATAACGGCGCAAGTTTAAGTCGTCCAGTGTCAAGTGCAACAACGCGCAAGTTAAGGGCACAAGTGTCTGTCAAATGAGATGGGTTGCCTTTATTTACATTGTACATGTGTAACAAACATGGTAGGTATTACCATGTTTAACAAAAAGAAAAAAGTGTAGTACATTTATCTATTGAAAATTGGGTGAAACGAACATTTAAACTTTTATGGAAAGTGGTTCGGTTTTCGGTTCGGACAACATTTGTGGAAAATTTCGGTTCGGTTAGATGGTTCAGTTAATTAATAGAAAAAAGCGGGTTTCCGGTTCAAAACCGGTTCACGTCCCTGTTTAAAATGCATCTTTGAGTAGCATTGATTATTTTACACTAATTAAAAATATAAGATTTTTTTTTTTTAATTTTATGGCAACTATATTTTAATTTCGACTGAAAATTTTAAATAGTCGATATTTATCGATAAGGAGGCAACTTAGGTAAACAGGATATTATAGTGCAGAAATTTTTATGTTACGTTCGGATTTTATAAGTATNATTTAAATAGTGGATATTTATTGATAAGGAGGTAACTTAGGTAAACAGGATATTATAGTGCAGAAATTTTTATGTTACGTTCGGATTTTATAAGTATGTACTGTTCTAATTTCGAATAGTTGATTGCCTTGAAATTATCGTGTATGAGTTATACGAATTAAGGTACACGGAAATTTGTATTTATTTTTTATGTCAATGTATCACACATGGCAGGCACATTTGCTGCAAGAGTGTCATAATCCATAATAAAACTAAAGACAAGTTGACTTCTAATGAGCTATGGTTAATCGATACAGCTATAAAAATGTTAAACAATTTACAAAAAGAGGTTTGAGATCATTTCTGCACACTTGACTTGTTTTTTTTTGATTATTACACTCTTGCAGCAAATGAGCGATATGTATGTGAAACTGTGTAGAACTCACCTTGATCCAGATGTAGCGGAGCTAATAAAATAAATTTCAAAAGTAATGCTATGGGATCTGCTAAAAGGCTGGGTATCAGTTCGCGACAATGTGAAGGCACTGGAGCCGCATCGGTTACAGGTAATCCAGCAAGTGAGGCCCACGATCGCCATAATGGCCATTCCACCAGCACCCGCACGTGCACCGATAACACATGCAACAGAGGAACAATGCAGTCACGTTTTGGTTTATAACGCGTTGCATTAGTTGTGCACAGAGAACCGCCCCGCTGTATAATTTCAGACTCTAAGTTCGTGCGAGCAATCGATGTAACAAAGATAAATAAACTTCGAAACGTGGGTGGCACACGCTTCATTTTACGATGAGTTATATTTGTCATGTCTTCCATGGCGCGGCCCATGGCTTCCGAGAGTTTCGTTGACGTCTGCTAAAACGCGAAAATCCAAAAAGGAGAATATGCTTTAGGAAAAAGTAAACTGATTAAAAAGTGTGTAAACCATGCGCGCACCCATGGGACGAGTTCGAGTGGTTCAACTCTGTCAATATGCAAAGCAAAAATAAACTAGTTGGGACACATAGTTGAATCATCAAATATTTTCTAAGTTAATTTAAATGTAATCAATTGAATATTTATTTATTCGGTACAATATCCTCATTTTCATCTAACCGAAATTAGGCAAATGGTCGTCAAACAAACGAGTTAGCATCTCTGCAATTTATACAAAGATAACTGTACTTATGACACACAAATGTAGTGGCGGCCACTGTGACTGAGTGCTTAGATGTGCGTACTACCACTCCGTAGAACCCATGGGTTTTGAAAATTAGAAAAAGCTTCTTCTTACAGCGGTCTCTCCTCGGCAGGCAATGGCAAATTTCCTAAATATATTTCTGCCATGAAACAGCTTTTCATAAAATCCGTTTGCCGTTCGGAAGAGGCGTAAAACTGTAGGTCCCTGCATTTGTGCAACAGCATCAAGACGCACATCACAAATAAAGGAGAGGCTTAGCCAAACACTTAGCAAAAGTGTAAGCGCCAACATATTATTATTATTATCTTTATACGTATATGTACTATCTACATTGATAAATGCCTTTGAAAAACACACAAAAAAAAAACGCTTATGACTTTTTACGCCACCAAAAACTTATCTTTAAGAGAATTTTCTGGGTGCGCACCTGGTGTAAACCGACTATAAGTGCTTACCGTTGGGCGCGCATTTTCTTTGATTAAGTTTGTCAACTCGGCTACTAGTTGCTCGAAAGGTTGAGTGCCCGAGCGCACCATGGGAGTGGGCCTGTCTAGTTGAGGACTCAATGGCAACACCGAGTTAGAGAGCTGTCTGCATACCGGACAATAAAACTCGCCTCGTTCATGCTGATGCTGGCGCTGAGTGGCGTAGAGTGTTTTCAAGTATGCATCCAGGCAAGTGAGATGAACATGGTGGCCACACGATTGAACATGTACACCATTCTCGTAGGCCATGTTGTTGGAGAGATACCAAGACTCTTCGCCAAATTTTAAACTTAGCAAATCAGTTCGTCGATTGAACTCAGTGGCTAACCTTGTGGTCAGCTTTAGGCGCTCCTCGTCTTCGTGACAAAGCGGCAATGGCAAACGTTCAGCGGTGCGACGCCGATGTCCAACAATGCCACTGGATTCAACCAATACCACAAGCCCAATAGGATTGGATTCCGTGCTGGGTGTTGTGCAATTGCAAATAATGCAGTCATACTCTTTTTCGCGTGGCTGCTCTTCGTACAAATCATCGTCTTCGTCGTCCAGGCCACACTCCATATTATGCGCCGCCGTTTGCATGAACTCCTTCTGCTTATTTGCGAACTCTTCCATCATTTTCATTTGCCGTTCGCGGGCGCGCTTCCGACGTTCCTCCTTTTCCCTGGCTTCGCGGGCCCTTTGCTCCGCTTGCTTTTCTCGTTGGTTCGGCCAAAGGCGCGAACGTATCTCATCAATGCTTTGTGCACACAACTCATCACGCTTAGCTATTTTACGTATAAGATTACCAATAAAATATGGACCATCCCCAATTCGAGAATCGGATACTCGTATTTTTTTATAATTACGATTTCGCTTTCTTATTGTGCTGCTGTACTGTTGTTCGCGTTGACTAGAATCAAAACTCAAGTTGGAAGCTGCGGCCGAAGTGCTTGCCTCCGAACAGTCTATATCCATGGCAGTAGGAGAATTCGAAGCGTTACCCGCTTTCTGACTCCATTCGTCTACCTTCAATACGCTTGCATTGCCTGATGTACTTGTTGATGATGCTGCTGCGGACTTTCCCAATTCACATGTCGCACTTTTATTGTGCTTATTTTCCGCGTCGCTCTCTTCAATTTGTGTCCCTTCTGTAGAATCTTCTTCTTCTTCCTCCTCCTCATCTTCAACATCACTCAATGAGAAGCTATCCAATGTACCACTAAGTTGAGAATGTAGCTTTAAAAGCAACGAAAGTATACTTTCCTCTATGAGAACTTCGTCCTTGTTTTGTCCCCCAATTGCATTGTCTACTAACTGTGTAGTCCGTTTTCGAGTACTCGAATCGAAGGTGCGTCGTCCTAAAACTCCTCGCATTGTTGTTGTGGGCACTATGCTTCTACTACCGACCGGCACAGCCACAGGTTGCACCCGCTGAAATGGCAACAGCATGCTGTTGCTATTATTGCTGGTTGGTGAAAACATTTCATTTTGCTGTTGCGGATGTTGTTGAGCTTCCGTAGCCCTCCTTAAGCCTCCGCCCGATGTACCACTAGCGCCCACACTCCCACCAGTCGCTACACTACCACCAGCCAGTAACTGTAATTCTCTGCGGATAGCCACTTCCATTCCACTCTCGGGCAATGTGATAGGTTGCAGCGAGAAACGAAATCCAACTGACGGTGCGGCACCCTCAATAGCATCATCGTCGTCTCGCAGAGTGTCGTCTTCTTGACTATCTTGTCTAATGACCAATCCTTGTTCGGGCACCACAGAGAGATCCGGTGGCAAAGCCACTTCCATATTCTGCATGCGCACCATTGCTGTCGATGTTGCGCCCGCCACACTCACACTCACACTCATCGAATCGTCGTCTAAGTCGTCATCACTGCCACCGATCATAGGCAATGCAGCCGTCGTCTCTGTTTCCACATCATAATCCAAATCACCGTAAAATTGACTCGAACGATAGTTCGCTGGCGAAACCTGCGGCTCGTGTGACTTTAAGGAAAGTTTCGTAACGACATATCGCAAATTGCAGCTTAGATTATCCGTCGGATAACAATGGAAAAGTTTGGGCGGATCCCGCCTCATTGCAAATGGATATCCGGGTTTACCTTTCGGTTCACATTCCACTACAGCAGCCTTATCATTGCTGGCGCCATTTGTGTCCTCACTCTTTTCGACAGCGACCTCCAAGAGAAAAATTGCCAGAGCTAACAGATGCTCAGATACATCGCGTGAGTGCACCGCCCGAAACAAAATTGAAAGTATGGTAGAATGAAAAACCCGAGAGTTCAAAATGCGACATGGATCGCTGAAAGCAGCGCCTACAGGACGTGGCATGCGAAACGGTGGCCATAAGTTACCGCTCGTGGGCATCTTATTCTTACTCTTGACGTAATTTGTAAACCGATCGAGGGAAGATTGAAAATCCCTCCGATGTACGGCACGTAGTAGCACATGCAAAGGGTCATAATATTCCTCCCACACATCATCTATTGGCGTGAAAAGACCTTGTTCCAAGTTTTCCGAGCCGGAGGAAGGCGCTTTATATACAGACAACTTCTTAAGGAAGTTTTCGAAGTTTTTCGTATGTACATTACCCGATCTCTCAGGCATTAATTCTAAGAGTTGTGAGTGTGTTTTATTTTCAGTAGCCAGTAAAGCGCTGATCTCAATTATACATTGTGTAGCCTCGTCGTTGCCAAGATTGGTACGACTGGTAACAAGCGTTGCCAGGAATGTTAGGAATCCCTCTAGCATCGAGCACTGCTCCATCTTTTGGGGCTGCTTCAGTGGTGCCAACTCTAGCCACTGACCCACACCAAACAGTTCGATTGTGTTCTGCAAAAAGAAGTACTGTGGCAAGTTCGTAGCACAGATTTGCAGAAAAAAGAGGTCCATGTCGGCCATAGAATTGCAGAAGTTCGCCTGTATATAAGTCATAGCTTGACCTTTGATTTGTAAGCCATTGCGAACCCATTTCCCCGCCAATATCTCATAAAAGAAGCTCTGAAAAATATGAAAATATTTGAAGTTAAAATATTAGATACAAAAATTTTAAAATTTTGTATTTCTTTAAAAAACAAATCGCTAGATAAACAAGGCGAATTCATATAAGGTGGTAGCGGTAGTACAAAAACAAACTTACATGTATTTTGCTTTTGCTTTCGGTAAACAAATGTCAAATTTTATCTATTCTTCGCTCAATGAAGAAGAGGGAAAGAAAATTGCAACACTCTCACTTTTTCGCTCACTCTAAAGTAATTGCACTTTACTGTGGACGCTACCTATCTTAAATTTATTTTTTACATTAGTAAAGACTATTAAATTTTCTGATACCTATGTCAACAATAGAAATATAATTAAAATAATTTTAAAAAGTAAATGTCAGAGAATGTTCTTTCGGGTTATAATAAAGATTCCGATTTCCAGTTCTGTTTTAAGTCTTTTATTTAGACTTAAAAATCAAAGTCTACATGGATCGCCTATTATAACTCAATTGTTTCTTGATTCGACCTAAGCGCTTATTGCTTTTGACCACAGATATGTACATATATATGTAGATAAACTATGAAATACGAAAAAAGTGTATGAAAGCCCTTTTCCAGAATGAAATATTTTCACGAGACGGGAAAACGGATTAAAAGCAAACAACTTCGTGAAGTTTAAAAAAAAGTTATAAAAAGTGAAATGATATTCGACGATCGGGGAATTAAAGTGCGCGAGGTGGCTGAAGCTGTGTAGAAAAAGTTATCTACTCGATGGGTGCCGCGATTGCATACACTCGACCATAAGCGTAGCCGTGTGAAAACTCGTCGCCTGGATAAAAGATTATCGTATGTTACTTTTGGCTGGTTTTGCGAAATCGCGATTTAAGTTTGGAATGCAATTTCTCAAAAACGCGACGACAGATGTTCTCCAGTCTCTGAGTTCACGAAATTTTTAAATTATTTTATTTTTATTGTTTATCGTTAATTATTAATTATTTTTAAGTTTATGAAGGATTTTCTTTAAAGGGGGAAAACACGACACCCACAAGCTGGTACAAACACAAAAATATCAAGTGTAAGTTGCTGGTAAGGTATTGCCCTTCACCTGGCGGTCCTTACCACTTCCTTGCCGAATCTCCATTACTTTAACAAAAACGTGGCCGCCTTATGTAAGTAGGAATTAAGAATGTACATTTGGTATCAGACATACCTCTGAGCCGCTTTACAAAGTAAGTTACGCGTAATGCAGAGCAGTCGCTCGGAAAAGTTCGGCGCTTGGAAATAACTTCGGCTGCACGTTATTTTGCAACTGACAACGTAATGTGTCGTCGGAGGTGTTCATTTTGCGCTTTACTAGTAGATGACATTGGCCATGATGACACTATTGGTACTAAAAACTGAAAGAAAACATAGCTTACCTCGCAAGCATTAGCAGAGCTGTTAAATCAAAACACGATTTAAAATACCTTAAAGTATCTTACCGCAAAAAAATGCCATTATCTGCGGTGTAACCTCAAATATTATTATATCAGGGTCCTTTAAGAAATTTAGATATTAGGACGCTGCTTTAATTTGGATTCTCCTTAGTGGAAATGTGAAGAATGGAGTAGTTAAAAGGAACATACCGTCAATGAATACACCAAGGAAGCATAAACTTATTTACGTTGTAACATGTTCGTTCCGAGGATGAAAAATTTCTGCCGAAAAGTGGTTGGAACAAACAACCCACACCTTTATCCCGCAATATGCAGGTAATCGTACTAAATAATGACGAAAATAATTGCATAAACAAATAGATTCTCTATATGCATTACACAATGTAATACGAGTATTTTATTTGTCTTCCGTTTTATATTTAATTTAGAAATAAATCACTTAAAGCTCGCTATAAAATGATGCTCAAAATGTAATTATTTTTAAATATTTGTTTGAAGTATTTTTTTTTTTTTTTTAAGTAAACAACCACTTCTTTAATACCTTCAAAGAATATGGTAGCTTCAATTTAAAAGAAAATGTCATAAGCACAATGGGAGCCATGGCGGGTAAGTGGAAGAAGTGAAACTACCTTTAAATATTTGTATCGTGTATTATATTTCTATATTGGCAGTAAGCTATCTTCTCAATGTGTAAAAATTTCCGAAATCAAAACGAGACAGTCGAGTAGCGTTTTTGTGTAGTGCATTGTGTTTATTTATAAACAAAAATTTCGAGCAACTGTCAAATCACTCCAGTGGCGGATTTAATTTATATTGAAGCAACCATGTGTTATTTAGAAAACCGTTGCTTGTGACTTTACAAACCGTTGCTTTTTGTAGCGCAAAGACATTCGTTCATATTATTATAGTGAACAAGAACGTATGTACATACATACATATATATATAAATATGAGCCATTTATTTGGAAAGTGACATGAGTCACTTCCCAGCTCTTGTGCTTAAATGACCGGTTACTGGTATCTTAACGCGTCGGTTATTCGTTCAACTTAATCAACCAATGGTACAAGGCAAGGTTTTGCCATTACTTTACGACGATAGAACGATTTGCAGATGCGTTCGGTTACAAGTAGCTGGTCCTCTAAGCACAAGAGGTACGAGGTGACTCATGCCACTTTCAAAATAAACGGTTCATATACATAGATTTTAGCGTAATAATAATGCCGGTAGTAATGCTCCTGCTCTTCTCATTTGAGTTTAGTAGCACAATCAAAGACAAAATTCAACCACAATTCTAAACTGCTTATCGTAAAATTTTTTTCTGTGATTTAAACGTTGATGACTGGTTAACCGATTTCAAAATAAATTAAAAAAAAAAAACACGGGCATCCTTATTTTCGAATTCTTCGATATTTGGGGAGTGGCTGGAATTTTTTTCTTGCCGCCCTAATGTACATACAAATGCAAATAAATATCGCTAATTTACTAAAAAGACCGTAGTAAGTAAACACCGACATTTTTGATGCAGAATTACTGGTTATAGTACACGTTTAATAATATAGAAGGCGGTTTAATTTCATTATTAAATCTCCAAAAACGTAAATTTAGAATTACATACATCTCTATATTAACAAACGAGCTTCATATCTATTGTATACAAATTTCGTGACGTTTCTTTATTATTTTTTTATGCGGGAATGCTTTTTTTTCTTTTGTTTATTTAATGTTTACAAGGTTTTTTTTGCCTACTACATTACACACCCAGCACCACATAAATCCTTATTTTAAAATTTAAAAAAAAAAATTAACATTCAAAAAACTTTAACAATTACACCCATACAATTTAAACTTTTTATTCCGAATTTTTAAGACAAATTTTGGGTATGCGCTTTTATAGTTGATTAAATTATAGTAAATTAAAGTGCAAATTTCAGGACGCGTTTTAATATTTTTTTTTTTGTCTGACAGTGTTGTGCATTTTCATTCACCGTCACCGTCAGCAAAAAACAAAAATATTCAAGATCAATGCGATTATCTAGCGTTCTGAAATTTTCACTTTAACCTACTAATTTAATGGACTATAAGAGGGCATGGGCATACCTATTTTTTCTTAAAATTCTGAATAAAAAGTTTTAAGTTTTTGGGTTTAATTGTTAGTTTGTGGAATTTTTATAATTATAAACATTAAATAAACAAAAGAAAAAAACCAAACTTGGTCAAAATGTCACTTAACTTAATCACCTGGCCACAAGTGTGCATACATTAGAGCGAGCTCTCACCTCCTGGAGTTGGCCTATGCCGAAAAAATTATACCTCTATTATTTTATTTTGATATCAAAAACGAATTTAGAGGTCGCTTAAAACGCTCATAGTTTCCCATGTGTTTTATGTCGGGAAATAAACTATTTTTCGTAGAAATGGTACGGTATTCTTGGAAATCAATATTTTTCAATCAGGGATTTCAATAACAATACCCAACTTTTTAATATTCCTTTGAAACGAAGAAAACGACGTAAATTTAAATGTGCCCTAATTATCTGTATTTCAGTAGTAACCTCTTTTTAAATGACTACATTTCATTACCTTTTTGTGAAGTTTTAAAAAAATCAAAAGAAGTTGTAATTTTTGTCTATGGAAACTTTTATTGCATGCATAATTACTTTACACCAGTCACAACTTTAAATATTTTTTAATATTTCTATGAAGATTATATAAACCTCATTTTTTATGAAAACGAAAGCGTATTTATAGTTCATAGTTTACAACACAAAAACATTGTTCGTGAAGATTAAGTGTTTTGGCTAAAATTCATCTTTGAGTGCTTTAGGGTAAAATAGGGTAAATAGGGTTCTTTTCAGTGTCCCACCAGTCACATTCATTCAAATGATAGTTACATAAAACTAAGAAATCGTTTGGTATTTTTGTTAAAGCAATAAATTAGTTATCGTTCTATGTTAAAAAATACCTTTCGCTCTTATATAAGCTCTGACGACATAGTTAAAATTCACAATTGATCACATTCTGGAGTAAAATGTCCCACCAGTCACAATGGAATGGCCCATAACTGTTTTTTCACAAGTCCCCCAAAAAATGGGTGGTAAAAAAGGCGAAATAAAAAACAGAGGTATATTTTTTTGGATATAGAACAATCCTAGGGGCGAGAGCATTAAAATTCAGACTTTAATTTTTCACAAATATTTGGACCTCCCTAATGCATTTGAGTATGCAGCTGCAATTTAACATTTCGAAGTGGGAGTACAGTTAACAGACTGTAGCGTAATGGCAATGTCGCTATCAACATTTACGAGTGCTCTTTGAGCGCACTTGACTCTCCGAGTTAGTTAATAAATTTCTTTATTCGTGTATTGGCCTCTGACGAGCGTTGACGCGGTGTTTGGTGTGCGTGAAGTGGTATTTTCGGTGAAACGTGTTTAAATACATCTTTTTCCTGTTTGTTTAGTTACTCTTCTTAAAAAGCAACTTCTTCGCTATTTATTGGGAAAAAATGTTTTAACACTTTATTAACGTTAAAGAAATTACAAAGATCTCAAACAACCAGCTACAATACCTGCTGAAACAAATATA